GCTTGAGATGCATTTTTAGCTTTATCGTAGTACTACTGTAAAATATGTCGTATTTTCTCTTTATTTTGCTCCATGTTTGCGACGCTACAACTCACGAACGACTTAAAAGAAACGAGAGTCAATCAAACACGTGTTAGCGCGTGAAATGAGCTTTCCAAAAAGGTATAGCATGATCCGATGCGACGAATGAAACTAGAACTACGCGATCTCAGCGCCAACTAGCGCGAAAATACCGCAAGACTTTTTTACAACCTAATATTATATAAACAGATTTAAAATTCTCACGCCTGGGCACTTAATAATAGGCAAAACACTAAAGGAGCTTCGAGGCTGTGATGTTGGGTTCTTCAGGGGAACTATCTTGTAAGGTTGGCAAATTAAGTATCTTGAAGATAATTGCGTTCTACGACGCACGAAATAGATACGATCACAGCTATTACAATAGCTAAACTAAGTGATTGATACATCCGAAGGGAAGCTGTTGAGATCTGTTATCAAGCTATTATTACCAATAAAGCGGGATATGTTTTGTCTCTGAAGTTAATAAATTTTAATTTAAAATGTAATATTCTAAACATACATACTTACATATATTACATATCACTGGACGACAGTTATGTGCCTACTGTTTTCCATTTTATTTCCTCTTCAATAAAAGGATGTGAACGGATGATAAGTGTTTAATTTGTATCCATGTAAATCTTGTGCATTTAACCGGTAGCGTTGTTAACTTTGGGAGAGATTGTCTTTTAGGTTTTGTCTGAACTTTCTCTTGTTCTTTCTTTTTTAATTTTGAAATTATATATATATTTATTTTTGTTAAATCATTATAGGTTTAAAGATGGACAGGAAATAAGTGCTGATGCTAGAGTAAAAATTTCTCGGGACTCATACCGCACAGAGGATTATTCCTTATCACTCACAATTTGTAAACCAACTGATGCCGGTACTTACGAAGTGAGGGCTCTAAACGCTATTGGCGACAGTCAATCGCAATGCAATGTGATTGTTTTAAGTAAGTATGTTCAGAAATATGTATAGTTTGACAATTTCATTAAACTTATACATATGTACACTTGAAAACATAACTCATTGCATTTCAAACCTTATACATTACCAGATGAACTAAAGAGAAAAGAGGAAGTCGATGGACACAATATACAAAACATTGAAAATGGTGGTAAACATAATACAAAAATTTCGAAAACTGACTTACCTACTTCATCTATTATTTAGTATTGAAAACTAACTTAACAATTACCGTAGAAAAGTATTTGTATGAGTCGATTCGTACAAAGTACGTCTTTTAAATATGCCAATTTATTGTTTTAATTTAGATATATTTGTATAACTACTAAAACATTAACACATGTAATAAGCCTTCTTAGTCTGTCTTAATCTCTAAAATATATATAAATAAGAAGATAAGATTAAACAGGTGACGATGAAATTGTTCTTATGATCTAAATGGTAAGTCTAAGTGATGTAGTCTTTGCAGTCCACGAGTATGTTCACTGTTGTCCAATCTCGCTCTTCACCATATTTATTTCAAGGTCTTTGTGTTAGTTAATATTTTTGATGTACCATGGAGTGTTTGCAATCAACCTGAGTATTTTCGAATGATATCTTTGAATTAGGTCTACGTTCGATTTACTTGCAGTTCCCCAGATTTGTATTCCATATGCCCAAATCGGTTTTAAAATGCATTTATATAGGATCACCTTATTTTTGAGACTAAGTTTCGATTTTGGACCAAGTAGCCAGCACATTTTTCTCGTCTTCATTTTTAGCTGATCTCATTTAATTTTTATGTGTTGCTGCCATGTTAGTCTTCTATCTAAGTGAATCCCGTTTCTTTCATTTACTACAATGTTCCAATTTCGAAGCCAGGATTCAACTGCGTTCAGTTGTTTTTGAACAGTTTCAGAGGCTTCGTTTGCAGAGTAAGCAGAAGAAAGAATGGCGGTGTGGTCCGCATATGTGGCAACAGTTATATTTTCGTAGTTTATTATTGACATGTCGGCAGTGAAAATCGTGTACAGTGTTGGGCCAAGCACGCTGCCTTGAGGAACACCTGCTTCGACTTCGTATATGTCGGAAGTGTCATCATTAATTTTAACGTAAAAACGTCTGCAATCTAGTTATGACCTAAGAAATAGGTAGAATGGAGCTGGTAGTTTAATTTTTATTTTAAATAACAACCCCTCATGCTAGACATTTTCTTGGTAATTGTTTGATTGTCCATGCATAAGTATTACTTGGGCCTGGCGATTTAGAAATTTCTACTGTGGCACTTCTGATTGTACAGGGTTTGTGATGAATTTTGCTACATTAAGAAACTCAAAAATCTTTTTTTTCAGTGTATGGAATTCATTTTTCTTTTATTCATGCTAAAGCTCATTCAATTTTATTAAATATAGCTTAATTAGTTTTAAAAACTAATGGAATTACGTCAAATAATTTTTTATTGTTTATTAAAGGTTCAAGATCAACAAAGAATATAGACATCGGCAATTTTGAAATTTTGCGTTTTTCATTCACAATATTCCGTACAGTATGCCCGTTTTTTGCTAAGTCATGTTTGATATCATCGCTATGAGTTGAAAAGTGCATATTTTTTATAACTATTCGGTATGGCTTATCTTCTTTCAATTGATATGTGTGAAAAGTAATATTATTGGTATCTAAATAGCTTACAAGTTTTCTGTAGCAATCACTGTTTGAAGTCATCACTCCCAATTGTCCGTCCCTACCTGACTTGTAGGTGAAATTTTCTTTACCAATAACAGTTGAAAAGCTTTTCAACATTTTATTTATGTCACTCACTTGAGGTACAAAAATTTGTGGTGGTTTGTGAGAAACTACAACAGTTAGCATTGAGTCCTATTTTTCCTTAGAATTGTGTTTTCACATCCAAATCTAGCACAAAAAACCGGTTGAGTTCTTTGATCCTTCACTCATCCTTTGTTGTTATAGTCCCGCAACAAAGTTGCTGAAGAGAGTATTATAGTTTTGTTCACGGTTGTTTGTAAGTCCTAAAACTAAAAGCGTCAGATATAGGATTATATATACCAAGTGAAAGACGAGTTGAGTTGAAATCCGGATGTCTGTCTGTCCGTCCGTGCAAGCTGTAACTTGAGTAAAAATTGAGATATCATGATAAAACTTGGTACACGTATTTCTTGGCTCCATAAGAAGGTTAGGTTTGAAGATGGGCAAAATCGGCCCACTGCCACGTCCACAAAATGGTGGAAACCGAAAACCTATAAAGTGTCATAACTAAGCCACAAATAAAGATATTAAAATGAAATTTGGCACAAAGGATCGCATTAGGGAGGGGCATATTTGGACGTAATTTTTTGTAAAAATGGGCGTGGCCCCGCCCCCTACTAACTTTTTTGTACATATCTCGAAAACTGCTACAGCTATGTCAACCGAACTGTATAGAGTCGTTTCTTTTAGGCATTTCCATATACAGTTCAAAATGGAAGAAATCGGATAATAACCACGCCCACCTCCCATACAAAGGTTATGTTGAAAATCACTAAAAGTGCGTTAACCGACTAACAAAAAACGTCAGAAACAATAAATTTTACGGAAGAAATGCCAGAAGGAAGCTGCATCCAGGCTTTTTTTTTCATTTAAAAATGGGCGTGGCGTCGCCCACTTATGGACCAAAAACCATATCTCAGGAAGTACTCCACCGATTTCACTGAAATTCGGTATATAATACTTTCTTCGGTATGTGGTTTGTGGCTGTCAGTGTCCTCGATCATTAAATCAATGTGTTCTTTTTGTTTTGTTGTTTTTGTTTTTTCTTCTATTTTAGTTCACACGCGTTCGGATCATTAATATTCCCTTGTTTTAGTTAGTAAATCCTGAGCTTAGTACGTCCGACTGCACTCACTAAGCGCACATTAGGAATTGTAGCTACAACAATATCTATAAAAAAAAATCGCTAAGGGGACTTAAATTTGACGGCTAAATACTGCCCACCTCGGTTTAAAATTACAGACAACAAATTTAAAGAGTTCTTTGGAACGCTAGGTCATAGGTTTCTAGCAGGTGGAGATTACAATGCAAAACACACTTATTGTTGCTCACGACTAATTAATCCAAAAGGACGACAGCTGTATTACACTATTATAAATAGGCACAATAACTTTGACATAATATCTCCTGGTAAGCCGGCGTATTGGCCTAGTGATCGTAAAAAAACACCAGATTTAACTGATTTTGCATAAGTGAAAAATATAGATAAATCGAACATAACAGCTATATGTACATATACTGATCTTCTGATCACTCTCCTGTAGTAATAAAGTTATGTGAACAACCCATATTCGTTAATTCAAAAGTAGGTCTAACGTTTTATAAAACGAATTGGCTAAAATATAAAAAATACGTGAGTAGCCACATTAATGTTGAGTACAAAATAAATACAGGAAGAGATATTGACGAAAGCTTAAGAGAACTCAATGATATAATTATAACTAGCGCAACCGTCTTAGCAACACCAAACAAAAACTATAAGCCGCTGGTTCCAGAAAAATCAATAATAGAGAAATAGGAAATCTTGTAAATGAAAAAAGGCGTGACAGACGTGAATGGCAGATAAATCACTACCCGTCCATCCAGCTTCAATTGAAATCTGCTGTACGTAAATTATAAACACACTTAAACGTGAGGAAGAATTCAACACCGAAATATATATAAAGAAGCCGTGTTTAAATTCCAATAAGCAAAATTCGCTTTGGAAAGCCCTAAAGTTCATGAAGCCACCTGACTCCAATATGTCTACACGAGACTTGGGTGGAAATTGGGCTCGAAGTGACGAGAAAAGGGCTAATTGTTTCGCAAATCACCTAATTTTCCAAAGAGCAATTTTAAGCTATCAATCTTTCCCAACACAGCTGAAGAGTCGCTCTTTTAAGACTTAACACACAAATGCTAATTGAGTTACGCAGTATTGCTGTAGACTCTGCGACTTTTTCCATGAAATTGGATAGTATCCGAAACTAAGACTTCAGCAGCTGCAGCTCACAGCAGCGATCTCTTTGCTCTTCAATGCAATTCTTAGTTTCGTATATTATCCAATTTCATGGAAAAAGTCGCAGAATAACTTGATAGATAAACCTAGGAAAAACTTAACGCGGGCGTCTACATACAGACCAATCAGTCTTCTACCCTGACTTTCTAAATTATTTGAAAAAGTATTACTTCCAAAGACGTTTCATTTCCTCCACGAAAATAATACATTATAACTAATATGTAATATTTAAATAGAATTACTAACGAAATGAGGAAAGCATTTGAGCACAGGGAATACTGTTCAGTTATATTTCTAGATGTAGCTCAGGCTTTTGATAAGGTGTAGCACGAAAGTGCTCGGCAGTAAAAGTAAACAATATTTTAGTACCCCAAGCGAACAATGGAACATATCTTGATATTCACCTAGATAGAAGACTCACATGGAGAAAACACATCTATGGTATAATAACATGTATGAATATTCTTCTTTTCGAAGTATCCCCTGTTGGCAAGAGATATTCTGCATGGATTTCGAGCCTGACTTTGTTGATGGTGTTGATAGATAAAATTATCTACGAGTTTAAAGTTACGACTGTCAACAGTGAGAGGGTGCCTAGTCCCGAGAACGACGACTGTTTGTTTAATGAGATGAGATATTTAGTCTTGCCCTCGTTCACCACCAGAACCATTTCCTTCCTGCCTTATCCATTCTGGAGAAAACAGACACAGTTTCCATATACCAAGTTGTTGGCTAGTGCTCTCAGAGAGCTGGAATGCAAGGAACGTCGAACCTTACTTGTATTTGTTGAAGTAAATTTTTTTGCTGCACAGAGGCGAGTGCGAATCTTGGCTGCAATAAGATAGTAGTCCGAGTCGATGTTAGCACATCGCGCACTCGTCTAGAACACTGGAGACGTGTCTTCCATCTATCACAACATGATCGATGTGGTTGGTGGCTTTTCAATCCGAAGTCAGTCGGGTAGCTTGATGTATTTTCTTATGCTTGAATCTAATACTACAGATAACCATATTTCAGCCTCAACCTATTTGGAGATGTTTCCTCGTGGAGGCTGAATTTGCCGACTTTTGCGTCAAAGATGCCTTCCTTGCCCACCGAAGCACGATTTTGACATCGTGGCGGGAGCAGATCACATTGTTTCGCTGCAAGTGCTCATAGAAAGCATCTTTGGTCACATCGGCCTTCTCTTTCGTAGAAGCGTGTTCGCAAAATCAAAATAGAACTTCGCTTGGATGCGGAGTGTAGGTAGACGTTCACCCACCGGAGTGAATGACAGTACTTGGCGACGGAGTCTCTCTCACACTACGAATCTCACACCGAACTTGCCCTCAATCCACCAGTTGGGCTGCGGCGCCTTCCCAATTAAGGGACCCGAGTGCATGCCCTCAAATCATAGTCCTTAATTCGTTTGCCATGGTTGTCATCAATTTAAAAAAAGTTATTGAACCAATCGTTACAATTCTTCAAAAACTTAAAAATACTTCCACTGCCTGTATAAAAAGTGAAACTTTTACCAAAGCTTTTTAAAATCTCTATCTCTTGTTTCCCACTCCGCCACCCCGACGGTAACGAATTTCAATTAATTGTATTAAATTAAAAAAGTTGATAAACGAAAAAAGGATTTTTTTAATATTATTCAACTAAATCAAAAACTGATTTTAATAAAATTGATTTACTTTTGCATGATAGTTTTCTTTGACTGATGATGACTGGATCTAACATCAAAAGTAATCGGATTAGCAAGTCCTGATTTGTAGCGGCGCATATGAGTCACATTGTCGGTGTTTGCCGAACTAGCAGGTTCCCAGCACGGTTCATCAGCGACCTCAAACGTCTCTGTCGCAAACTTACCGAGTTTCACACAGAATTTAATAGCGTACTTCTGCTTTAAAGAAAGCTGCATTTTCAGCTTACACCACTTACAGAAACATATCGCACGAAAATGTTTGCTCTGACTCTCCATGTGCTCGGAGACAACTCACCAGCCGCTCGTTCGTTAGCTGGGAACGCCCTCTACCGAATCCAACAAAATCAGTAATACTTTCCGGACAAAGCCTGTAATACTTTAGCAATAGCATTTTGACCGTAGATCACACCATTAAGAAAGAATTTACAGGTTACCACGGAAATAAATAATAGATTGAAAGGTTTTTTACTTTCCTTTTATATGAATTCTTTCGATCACCTAATCTTCAACAATTGCAATTATTTTTGACTTAAGAAATATGAGATGTTTTTATTTAACATGCTTGGCTAGTTCTGAAAAACTGTAAAATCCAAGCAAAAATTAAATAGTTAATAAGATTGCTAATATCATTAAGAAAACTAACTTCTTTTTTTGAGTTATGGTTTTTTGTTCAGGTTGTAAGAGTTGTTTTCTTATTTCATGTTAATTAAGTCAAATTTATTTATTTTATAGAATTTTGTATTTGTTTTTTTTTTACTTTTATTCATATACATAGCTTTTATTATAGACCACATTATTAATTTAAAATTAAAACTTATTAAAAATAAACAACAATTACGAGCAGTTTCACCTTGAAATTTTTTACAATAGGCAGGGACAGTACGAGGGTTGCTTTAATATTAAGAGATTATAGAACAAAAACAAATATTAATCATCGTCCTTGATTTAGCTTCAATGCCAAAAATTTAATTAAGTTCATCGATACACTGTTACTGACTTATTTTATGTCGAAATTTTTAAAAAATACTAAATGTTTGCGCAAATATGTAAAACTTTAAGATGATTTACGATACGAGATATAAAGGCAACCTTCGAACTGTAGGTATTAACAACTTAAACTCAATACAATTACTAAGCATATTAGTGCGCATTAAGTCGCGTAATTATCTTCACATTTACTGTTACCATTTTGATTAATATGTACTCACCATTTTTAATATCAATACATCTTCATCGATGCAAATTTAACATGCGGTACACATTTGTATGCCATTTCTATCAAAAACTGTTTGTAACTTTGAATTATTTGATTGATATTTAGCGATTCCTGAGATCCAACACGCAGATATTTTGGAAAAACATAGTTTCGAGTCAGTGCCATTAAAATATGAGATTATTGCTAAAGGCATTCCCAAACCGGAAGCCGTATGGTATCATGATGGCAAGCCAATACAAGCAGATCAGCGTGTTGCTACCATCGTTGATGGGGTAAGAATTATTTCTTCTAAAAATTTTCAAATTTCTTTTAACTTTTGCTTACAGGAGAAATACAGGTTAGAAATAAAGGAACTGCAACTACCCGACGCTGGTGAATATAAAGTGGTAATTAAAAATAAATGTGGCGAAAAGTCTCTCCAAGGTGTTTTATCCCTATCTGGTAAATATAAAAGTACTTTTTAAAGGATATTGTCTTGCTATAAAAATATATCTTTTTCAGGCGTTGCAGATTATCGCAAACCTATTTTAAAAAGTGGGTTACGTGATATTACGACTAAAAAGGGAAACTCTTTGGCGATTCCTATCGTATTCACCGCTGACCCTCAACCGAAAATAACATGGATGAAAGATGGAGTGGCATTAAAAGAACAAGGCAATATCATAATAACAGAATCAGTACAAGATCTTGAGAACGGTCTTAAGGAGTACTCATATACCATAAATTTTGATGAACGTAAGTAGTATTAAAATAATCAATGTATAGTTTTCTCAACTAATCGGCTAGATAAATTCTTAATAAGTCCTATGACATAACATGGGTGTAGGGTTTCAGGATATTATTTCGGAAAATCATTTAATTTATGTTGTTAATATAGCGTCTATAACCTTAACTTAAGAACACTATATGTTCAGAGCGTTATACAGCGGAGCGACTAGAGACGAACCCATCCGATTGATGTTAATTATTAATTATTGATTTTACTACAAAAAAAAGTAACTTATTTTTAACAGAGCACTCACAAATTTTCGAAATAGTAGAAACTTTAGAAATAGGTCTGTAATTGGGGACTACATCCTTTCTACCATTTTTAATAATAAAGGTAATGAATGTCAATTTCCAGTCTGAAATAAAATTCTCAGAGGACAAAGACTTATTGAAGAGAAGCATGAGAGGATATACCAAGGTAGGATAATTTTTTATAAGTACAGGCGGCTTCCCATACAAATCCAATTTGAAAGAAGGCTTGATATCACAAAAAGCCTTGGCAATATCATCCTACGAAAGACACAGTGTGCCAAATTTTATGGATAGAAAATAGTTAGTAGAAAAAGTGGAAGTAGTTCCAGGCTTATCGTGTACATAATTTGATTTGAAAAATGCAGGACGCAAGTTGAAAATTTCACCAGGAGTGCATGCCGAATTATCACCCCAGCGTAAGGCAGAAGGAAAAACAAAGTTCCAAATAGGCTTAGGGATCGACTTAATTTTAGACTTCGCGCATTTACAGCACCTTTTATAGAGAAGTTTATCCAGTTTGGATTAGTGTGGAAATTGAATGAAGGAGACATAAGATTTAGACGAAGAGAATTTTCTGTAATATTTATTTGTAAGATTTTTTAAGCGTTTGAGGTCCTTAGTATACCCTGGCAGCCATATGGTATGTATATGTTTAATTGGGATATTATAACGACAAAATTCTTCAATTTTTATTTTATTTTTTTTATACATTACAACTAGTTCAAATTAAAGGAAGAACTAACAAGTAACTTGAATATGATTTAAACATATAATTACAAAACTACTATGAGAGAATTAACTAATTTGAAAGATCGCTGGGTTTGAGGCGTTTGAGTCGTCTTGGTGGTCCATCTCTAGGAGTTAACATAGCATTCTTCGTTACAATGCTGTAGCAATCTTGCACTATGTGCTGTTGCAATTTTTAATATTAATATTGCGTTAACCGAGTTTAAGCCTAGATCACGCTTTATATCAGCACATCTACAATACCAAGGCACTTTGACAATTAGTCTTAGTACTTTCTGACTGACTTGTTACCGATTAACCAATTATAATTTTTAAGTCGCATGTCCAGTTTCTTACGTTTGGTTTTTACGTAAACTTTCTACCGTAGCTTAGTGTCAAGCGTCAATTCTAAGTATTTAGCGGAATAAAAGTAGGGTATACGTGCACCGTCTATGAAAATTGGTAAGTGCTGTATCTTGTTGTATGTAAAAACAATGTGTACAGACTTTGCTTCATTCAGCTTTACCTGCCATTTCTTTGCCCATTGCAAGACTTTATTTACAGCTTTTTGAAGATTAGTACTGAACAAGAGTCCAACAGCAAGCAACGCGGTATCATCTGCAAATACTATATGAAGAAGAGGGTTCAACAAACTACTTTGTGGAACTCCGGCTTTTACTTCCCTGAGAACAGAATATTAGTCTCCTTGTTTAATGCGAAAGTAGTGATCTGATAAATACGATTTTATGATGCTGTTTCGGTAAAATCCGTTTCAGTTTCGAAAGCAGTTCTTTGTGACAAACTTTATCGAACGTTTGCAACATCCAAAAACACGGCAGAACAGAATTTTTTTCTTCAAAGATTTTTCAATAATGTGTGTAATCCTGTGCATTTGAACAATCGTAGAATGGTTGGCTCGCAACCCAAACTGATGGGGTGGAATTATGGTTTTTCGCTCAATGATTTTATTGATAAGTTTTATGGGAATTTTCTCAAAAAGTTTCGATATTACCGGTATAAGTGCTATGGGCCTGTATGAAGATACATCATATCCTAGTTTTCGGGGCTTTGGAATCTTGATAATTTCAGTAATTTTCCAATAAGTTGGCACGTATTTAAGATGAAAAGCCGCATTAATAATATTGGTATTTTTACTATACTTATTTGAGAAAGCTGGTTTAGGACCTCGGCAGGAATCAGGTCGTAAGCAGGGATTTTTTTCAGATTTTTGATTTCCTCACTTAGCTTACTGCTTGTACAACTTGAGATTAGAAGCAGTAGGATAATCAACGTGTGTTTCAGATGGGGAGAATATTTTGGGTAAATAATCCGAAAATACTTCTGCTTTTTTTGAATCGTCTCTGGCCTAGCTTATTTGAATGGGACATACTTGAGTTTCTGGTGTTTGTAGTCTTTTACAGCTTTTCCAATGAGAGTAGCCGGAATTTCTTCCATTTCTTGGGGACCGAAGATATTTTGCGAAACTTTCATTTTTAAACCTCTTGATTTTCCGATTAAGATCTTTAGAACCTTTATTTAAAATAGATTTATCAGCTGGGCAAGGGTTTGATGCTATTTATGTCGCATTTTCCTCTTTTATTTAATTATTTCCCTTATATCATTAGGATATTGTGAGTTTACAGCAATTTTCCTTAATTCCTGTGTACTTTCCCAAGCAGCGTTTTGCATACTTGTTGTAAAATGTAAAATTTCAGAATTTAATTTAAAAATGGAAAAACTATTAGTAGTATCTGGTCCAGAAAATAGCTTAGCAAATTGTTTTTGCCATTGGCTTTCGAGTGAGCGTTGATATTCCTAGCAACAGCGTCAGCATATGTATTGGCATATTAAGCAGCATTGGTAGCAGCTGCAGGTAGAGAAGCAGGAGCGTGATAATCCACACTGACATTACCAACATACACTGAAACAGCAACATTGGACGAAGAAATATGTGTACCATTAACAGCGTTATTGGAGAGAATGGAGCTGGCGGCAGAGATGGCAGATAATGTTTTTGATGCTTTTGAAACATCGCTGTTTTTGTCAAAAGGCATCGATGTTTGCCATTGATGTTGTGATTTTGAGAACATCGATACTTCGAGGGAGCCTGGGTCGGTGTTTTATGTCGATGTTTTTCGTTCAAATTTCACTTCTCATCTTTATAGCAGTTTTTCTCGGTATTAATGCGAGAACCTCTGCTCCGAACTGCTTTAACAAACTACCATGTGTTTCATTGTAAAATACTTACGAGTATACCTAATGTAAAGATAATCAAACATCCAGGTTATTTTGTATCGCATATATCGGCCAATACGAGGTATGTTCAAAAAGTATCGCGAATTTTGTGTTTTTTTAAGAATTGTTTATTTATTCATGAATATCTATTTTGTCCCCTTCAAAGTAATCCCCATTACATATTATACACTTGTGCCAACGGTTTTTCCAATCTTCGAAGCACTTCAAAAAATAATTTTTTTTATCTTCTTCAGCTCCTCCTTCTATTCCGTCTTTATCTCGTCAAGAGAAGCGTAACGTCGTCCTTTCATGGGCCTCTTCAGTTTAGGGAACAAGAAAAAGTCACAGGGGGCCATATCTGGGGAATACGGTGGCTGCGGCATCATTAGTGTGTTGTTTTTGGCTAAAACGTCGCGCACAATGAGTGGTGCAAAAGCCAATTTTTGTCACATCTTCTCGGCCTTCTGAGAACATTTTGTACCACCGATAAATGTTTCTTCGGTCCAATTTAGCTTCTCCGTATGCCACAGTCAACATTCTGAATGAATCCGCGCACTTAATTTAGCTTTCCACACAAAATTTGATACATGTTCTTTAACACATTTTTTTGAATAAGTAAAAACCGAAGACGATCCAAAACACGTGCAAGCAAAGCAGCTGTCAACAATTAAATGAACATTCAAATTGGCCGAGCTTGTCGGCTTAAGTGACAGACATGAGTACCAATATAACGCCACAAAAAATTCGAAATTCGAATATACGTAGCCCGCGAAAATTCAAAATTCGCGATACTTTTTGAACAAACTATTGGTCAGCTCTCGTAATGCTCTCCCATACCATCTCGGTGGTAAAATTTAATGTCTCTGGCGTAATTAGTTATTGATTTGTCGCGCCTTTCGTAGTTTTTAACAGTACCGTTACATGGGATTTCCGATCCGATTTTTTCACACTGTTAGTGGAAATTCTCATAAGATTTGTACTCAGCTAATTTCGTTGTAGTAGCTTAAGTGGCTTAGGAGGGATACGCCCACTTTTCAGGCCCTCAGGTGCCCCTTGCTACTGTATACTCTGTACTATACTAAAGATTCATATCTTAATTTAGTGCTTAGTTATGTTGCTTTATATATTTTCGGTTAATGGCGATTTGTCGGCGTGGCAGCGATCCGATTACGCCCGTCTACGAACTCGAATTTTAGAGAAAACAGAAAAAACTAAATATAATCATACCTATATACTATATATACATATATGAACCTAAACTTAGTGCAAAGATATATATATACATAAATATTCATAATACGTACATAATTCGTTATATACAATTCGCAACCTTTCACCTTTTCCTCCGTCCTTCATAGATCACACATTTTTAACATCGGCCTTAATAATAATCAGTTTACTCGTGTAATAAGAATTGAGTTAAATAATTTATACATATACACTGCCGCTCAACTGAGTAGGTTTATGATCTCAGAGGAAAGAGAGATTTATCTATAACTCCTAAACCAGTTTTCCGATTTACATAATTATTTTATTCCTAAATCATATTAAAATAGAATGGTGAAGAAGGATTTTCAAAAACATATTATTTATTCCATATTTATTTATTCTTCTGAAAGGTTAATAAAGTCAATGATTTTTTTTCGTTCATCTGAATATTTTCAACCTAAAAACATTAAAATTATATAAGTAACTTAAGATAATTTTCATATTTTTGGCATTTAGCTTATTCTTAAGTGCATTTCTACAGTAATTTTTAATACATTTAATAATGAGTGAATCCGCCGTTTTTGGATATAACTTCATATAAACGATCGGGAAGCGAGCTATACAAATTTTTCAGTAATTGCGGGGAAATTGTTTTCCAGACCGTTTTAATTGCCGCAACTTAAGTTGTCTTGCAATCAAATTGCCTGCCTAATTTAGGGCTGCCATAACTCGGACTCCGCTCACCAGGACACTTCACCCAAAAATTTCCCACTTATAAAAAAAAACCCAAAAAATTTTTTACTGATAAATTTATCAAACATTTATTGGGAAAAAATTAACAGTTCACTTAAACATGTATTCGAAAAAAAGACTATTCAATTTAACATTATAAGTCTTAGTATTTCTCTGAACTTTGAACTTTGCGCAAAACTTCAGTTTTTTCTTTGATATAGTTGTAAAATTCATAGCATGTCATATTAAAATTAAACTTACATTGAATGATACATTCTAATGTATCAATATTTAAACAATTTCTTTCTTTGGTCCATTGTGAACTTATTAATGAAAAAATACGTTCTACGTAAGCATTATGACTGGGGATTGCGTATAAATATTGTAATATTTTTAAAAAATTTTCTTTTCGCTCCTTTTCAGAAGTTTTTTCAAAAAAATATAACCTTTTTTTAATTGTACCCTTATCCTTTGGATATTCTTTATTTATCTCTAAAAATGACTTAAGACAAGAAACTTTTTGGAAGGATTCATCAGACAAAATAATATTTTTTTCTTGTAAATAAGTTATAGTTTTTTGAACGTCAGTCCATTCAGGTATATTTTTTAATGTCATCCAATTAAAAATTGCATACTTTTTTAAGGGGACCACCCAATCCTCTAAGTAGTTAATTAAAGTCGCAAAAAAAGTTTTAATGTCATTTTCAAAATCAGAAATTTTATCATTCAAACATTTGTTCTTTAAATTATTCAAAACTGTTTGTGTTTGAATTCCAATAAAATTGTTTTCAAATCTGTCATATCACATATAGTTTCACTTAAAATTAATGGAACTTCCATAACTGAAATATTTCGCTTTTCAATTTTTTTTGATTTGTTTCTCAATTACAAATGTTTGGCTGTGTATAAATGTGAAATATAGTTCTGTTGACGGATTTTTAAAAAGTCAGTAATTACTTTCGCTGCTCCTTTTTCAACCTCAAAGAATTCTTTGAGCGGTCTCCAAAGCTGTACTATACGCTCTATTGCAGGCCAAAGTGACAACCACCGACTTCTTGTATGGGAGAGTATTTCGTTAAATATTACCTGTGCGTTTTCACAAAACTGTTTCAATCGTTCAGTTCTAACCGTAAAAATATATTTATTTATATATCTATTTATATATCTTCAAAACAACAGATTCAATGTCAATTGACAGTACATCTGTAGCACGTGAAATAGTGTTGTGGAGGATATGAGCTGAACAATCGATGCCGTCTATTTCTCGACCCAATTCGGATTTCAACTTGTAAAAAACGTTAGTTACGCCATTCCTTTGTCTGCCCCCAAAATTCGCGTTTGTGTTGTCTGCACCAAAAGCCGTAAGATTTTTTAGTGGAATATCAGCAGTATGTTGTTATTGTTTCGGTAAACCAGGACGTATGGCAGTCCTGGCCTAATTCATATACCTTGCGCGATAGCAACCCCCATACGATTTCCATTATATTAAGGTCAGGTGAATAAGGGGGCTATTCGAACAAGTCCACACTTTGAGCCTTAATCTACTATTTGACCACCCTAGTTGTATCCATCAGGGCTGTCTAAATTAAACTTTTTTTCGTCGGAAAAAACCACCTTCTGACATTCGCTCGTCCAGCTCATGTGCTTCCACGCAAAGAGCAGTCGTAAAGCTTTACGTGCATCATTTAACGGTTCTTTTTTTGTTTTTAGTTTCATTCGTTTTAGATGATCTGCCGATGAAATTACACGTTTAACTGTAGACACACTGGCTGTAACACCGAAAATTTCTTTAATTTTAGGTGCTGAGAGATGCTCGCAAAATATGCCTCCTGACTGCCGTAGAGGCAGTCAGATGACTCCGCCTTTCATGTTTTTGCCATATTCTGCATTGTTGCTCACAACACTTTCCCGATAGGCTTTGATTTGGCCTCTTTCATACTCGGATAATTTTCGTTTAATTTAAAGAAAATATACGAAACAAAAAGTTTGTATCAAAAATGTGTCGCCACGCCGCCAAGTTTAATCGCCAACTAAAAATCGTTCAGCTGAACCTATTCAGTTGAACCAAAAAATTGCACAGAAATTAGCGAAATAAATAACAAAACAGAATATGCGAAGTAACGGTACTTAGCAAACGGTTCTTTACTAGCGCACACTGATTTACACAAATATAAAGTTAAAACGTTTTTAAAAAAAACATGCGTACGATTAATATGTGATGAAAAATCATGAAAATGCAAGCGAATTTATGTGAACCTATTCAGTTGATCGGCAGATTGGGATCAACTTTATTCGCACTAAATGGTGATAATTTCAATTTGGCTTGCTAAGCTCTAAAAGCAAGATAGGAAAACAGGAAAATGTTGGTCGATAAATAAGTAACGACACTAATCAAATTTTTAAAACCTATAAGCTTTAATAGACCCCAATCTGGTAGCAAAACTAAATTAAACAGAAGCTTTTGCAACACACAATCGTAAACGTCAGCGCAGAAAAACATACGTTATGCGAATTGTTCATTTCGATAAAAGGACGGACGATGGTTCCACTAGAACAAAAAAAAAAAAACACAAAACTATTCATTTATTTAGATGTAATGGTTATTCATGAATAATTTATGATTTTTTTTCGCACCAAAATCGATAGTTTTGCTTACTTACCGCACCACTAAGATGAAAGTGAGCCTCATCGGTGTAGGTGATTTTCCTAAGATTGTTCCTAGTTAAAATCAGCAAATTCACGAAGTTTACGGTCAGGCATCAGTTTTTGACGGATGTAAGCTAAAATCCTTTGGCGAAATTCACTAGGTTGTGGTTGGTTCCAATTCTTAAGAACGTCTTGGAATCTTCAAATTGGGGGTCTTCAGCAACACCGCCTGAACGGCAGCAATATTTTAATTACTTCGAGCGGTTATTTCTCTTATTGACACTTGAACATTATATAAAGAAAATGTTTGTTCAATGGCAAAGGATTATTTTGATAATAAAAATGAATGATTTCTAAATATTTTTCTGGCTAATATCCCTCCATGATGAAATTGTAAACATTACTGTATACAATGAAAAAATTATTAGTCATGACTATAAAAAATGACCGAAACGATAATTAGGATTCATATCATACCCATTAGAAAACCCGGTAGATATGTACTACGAGTACTTGTATGTACATAATTTTATATTTATATGAATCTTTATATGATATTATTTTCCTGTTCCGATAATTATAACTGAGGTATTGCAATAGTGATTTCAATACATATTTTAAGAAATACCCATCTAACGTTACTGAATACTTTAGAAAAGTATTTAATTTTGAAATGAAAGATTCTAGAAATTTACCAATCACAAGAAATGAAAATATGTTGAAATATTAGAATTGTTTATTTATTTTAGTTTCCATAAAATATTAATAACACATATTAACTGCGAGACTTAAAGCGAATTTGAAGTTAGCATAGAATAGTTGGAGTTCTAAATAATGATTGTTATTTAGTTATAAGTACTTTAATACGCAGATCTGGTAAGTTAATAGTTTTTTATTTAAAGCCTACAATCTACATATCAACAAATCGTTTTGAAGTACGTTCGCGCCGCCATCTTGTCTCTATTATTCTTGAACTTACTGAACCACTTGTTAAATAACATACAACATTTTTGTATTTTCATAGTTCAACACAAAGATTCTGGCCGATATGAACTACAGATAGAAAATAAATATGGCAAAATCAGTACAACTGGATGGATTGATGTGTTATCAAAACCAGAAATTATAGGCTTAAAAGATCAGTGTTGTCTTCCAAATGACACCATTGCTTTTGATGCTATCATACTAGCGAATCCTAAGCCTAAAGTTACATGGACTCGAGGAAACGAAAATTTGTGCAACAATGAAAACTGCGAAGTGATAGCCGACGTTGATGATGATAAATACAGATTGGTATTCCAGTGTGTTAAATCAGAAGAGGATGGACTATATTCATTAACCGCAGTTAATGACCAAGGCTCGTCTACTGCAAGCTTCCATTTAAACGTTAAAGGTGGGTTAATTTAACAGTCAATAATAATATCAATATAGATAAATAAAATTGACGTGTATGTTTGTCAAACCAAAATTACGTGAATTATGTACTTTCCGCTGAAATTTCGGAAATTCCACTCTTTTTTTTTACCAAATTTTACATTTAGAATAATATTGGCAATATGTTTTTATTTTGTTGAGAAATAATTGTAGTGGCGAATTCGCCGCTACCTTTATCCATTTCATAATCACCATTTCCAATTTTTTTTTAATTAAACCATAAATATTCATATATATATTTTTTAGTCGAAAAGCCGACATTTATCGCACCACCAGAAGACCAATTAATACTGGACAATCATCCGGTGAATGTTAATGTATTAGCACATGGAATACCAAAACCAACAATTGAGTGGAAGAAAGGTGATGAAAGGATTGCTGATGGAGCTCAAATTACTAAAAATGAAGATTTAGTATATATTATACAACAATCATCTCCAGATTCTGATCAATTGAGCAGCCAATTAGAAATTTCTCATTTCAGACCCTCGAATGCCGGAACGGTAAAGTTTTTATTTATGCTTCAAATGTTATGTAATTAATTTCTTTATTTCCAGTACACTGTCGTTGCTAAAAATGAAATTGGTGTGACTGAAGTTCCGTTTAAACTTTCTCTGCTAGAATTAGCTCCAAAGTTTGAAAGCAAGTTCGACAATGCTAAAGAAGTATGTCAAGGTGAAGATTTGGTTCTACAATGTAAAGTTATTGGAAGTCCAATTCCACTAATTAGTTGGATTAAAGATGGTGAACAATTAAAGCCAAGTGAACAGTAAGTGTAAACAAACTAAGCAGCACCTCAAAACTAACGTTTTGTATGACATTTTACATTGTAGCCAGATCAGTTCAATTATTAATTTTTTGCGATTGATATTAAAGCACTCAAATTTCAATAAGATTAAAAATTATTATATATTCAACATATGGAAGTACTACTTAAATATTTTTTTGTGATTTTGTGATATATAATCAGATGATTTTTGAATTTTCAATACTGAGTAATTTAAGTTTCTTAGGTCTCAATTAATAAATGTTTTTAACAATTTTCCATTGAAAATATATTATGGTGCATTACATTTCATCAAATACATTTAAATTTCTCATTATATTTAAATTTCATTGCTGTACATTTTGGTCCTGAACGGCGACTCCGTTCACTTATATTTGTCGTAGAATTTCAATCTGGCCATTTCAGTCGTTCCAATTGCGAAACGTCAAAACCTACCCGATCCAGGGAACTGTCAAAGTCGGATATCTTTATCTCTGTAATAGTTTCTATTTGCTTTTTCTTTGAGTGCTGCTGTATCATCAAAAAATCAAGATCTAAAAACCTATCCTACCAAGTTTTGTTTCACACACAAAACTAATCCATATGCATACCAGAGAGCTACAACGAGTATGATAAAATCAGAACAAACAGTCGTGCCAAAAACACAATCRAATCAATTCAGTTCAGCATGGCAACATTGTTAATCAATTCGAGTGGCCGCCAGCGTCAACTGATCTGATGCAACACGAACTATTCTTCGGCAATCACGATCGAGTAAACGGTATGGCTGGCTTCAGCTCCAATCGTATCATAGCGTTGCGAGGGTTGTTTGAATTGATGTGAAACTTTGGGTAAACTATAAGTAAAGCTACGAGTTAATCTTTGGGTAAATATATAAGTATAGCAAATAACAACAACTTTCTGCTGGACTGATTTGAATCATGTATGGCAAAAAATTTATAAGCTTTAAAAATGTGCGCATGTTACAAATTTTCGATGCGTAAACAATGGAGATTCCATCGAGTACGTACGTACATATATACATACAAACATTTCTTGTATGTACATATATACTTGATGGAATTTTTACTTATAACATATGTATATACTTATAACATATGTATATACATACAAACATATGTCATTGAAATAGAACAGAAGTGCCCGACTAAATCAGTGTTTAAGGGATGATATACAAACCGAACGCTGTCCATTATTTTAATTATTGAAGCCCGAGTTTGCATCACTTTGGGTATTTTCTGCTGATGCGAACGTTCATAATCAAATCAGGTATAAGCTGATCGCTCGTGATTCAAAGTTGTTCTCTATCGCTGATTTGAAGACAAACGGTTCGCTTCGTGTACATGAACCGAACTGCCAGAATCAGACAGAGTAACATATCAGTACTTAAGTATAAACAAAAATTTATTACTCGTTGCAGTTCTCTGATACTTACATATATATGTACATTAACATTCTATATGTCTGCTCCTTGTAATACTTGTTTATTTTTAGCATAAGACTCACATCCTCCCCTAGCGGTATTTTAACATTGGAAATAGCGAATATTCAACCATCTGATTCTGGAGCATATAAGGTTATCATTTCAAATCCCCTTGGCGAAATATCTTCCTTATGCGCTGTTGCCGTATCTCGTAAGTAATTCCCTTGTGTTTTAACAAATAAGCGAGATAGATTGTATGTATGTATATATATTATATAAATGCCTTCCCGTTTGTGCAAGCTGTAACTTGAGTAAAAATTGAGATACCTTTACTAAAATTGGTATGCGGGTGAGCGTAACCAAACCACTGCCACACCCATAACGCGTCTTTAATCGAAAACCTAAAAAGTCCAATAACTAAGCACTAAATTAATATATAGAACTGTAATTTTGCACAAGTGATCGAAGTACCAAAGGAAACCTGTGATCAAAAAGTTTTGAAAAAGTGTGCATGGTCCCGCCCTCTAATAAGTTTAAAGTACATATCTCCTAAATCACTAAGGTTTCAACAACGAAATTTACTCAGCTAAAATATTATAAGAACTCTTACCGACGGTCTGAAAATGGACTAAATTGGATAATGAGACGGCTTTATAAGTCGTCTACTTTTTGGTGAAATCACATATCTCGGGACCTGACCGACCGATTTCGACTGAATTTGGTGCGTGATATTATTTTGTAATTATTATGTTACAGTCTGAAAATGGACGAAATTGGACTAAAGCCACGCCTTATAACACAATTTTAAATTCCTTCGCTAATAAATTATATAATTGTATATAATTTTGCATAAATAATTCCTTCAAAGTATGCAACATTAGCACTAAAAATTCCCCGAACCCAAACAAGACTGTTTAAAATATCGGTCATTGTGTGAGATATAAACTTGAAATTAAGAGAGAATCCTTTCATGACAATATGTATCGAAAATGGGTTATCGGGTCAATACTTCCCTGAGTCCCATATACCTAATTTCGAACTTCCGGGTGATTTTATACTGAATATTTCGACCAATATTTGTGATATCTCAAAGAGGATTACGAAACGTGCATTACTCATAACAGTATATCTTTGTGCCTAAAATAAAGCTCTTTTTGTGTATTCTTTATTGAGTAATATGTGGAAAATACCGTGCGTTCGAACATGGATAGTAAATAGTTTTTAACACCAAAATCGACCATAATATATCGCCCACTCACACACTCTCCCACAACGATTTTATGTTATTGATGGGGTTCCGCCACCGCTTGCTAACATCTATTGATTCGATCAATTTGCGATTTGAAAGAGATGGATGATTTTTAACATTTGGTAATTTTTTCACTACATCAGAGTCAATTGATGGTTTCTGAAGCGGTTTGATTGCCTTTATAATTAGTCTTGCCTCAAATTCTGTTACAAAGTTTACAAAAAGCACCATCTTGTTATAATTTGTATTCAGTGTCAAGTCTTATTTATATAATTATATTCAGTTTAGTTCGCAAACTCATTTGCAGAAATCCCCAGAAAATTATGTCAAAGGAAATGGATATCGATCGAATCAATGTCAAGATTTATTCGAGATGATCTCCATATAAAAAGCCAGCTGTCAGGCAACTGGTTATGTTCTGACAACTCGCTTGATGTATAATTGTCACAGAGGGTGAAGTTTTAACAGTTGAAGCAGTTTTTAATAAGCAAAATTACAGATGTTATTTCAAGGGTTTAACGTGTTCTCCATTCATTCTGTAATAGTTTGTTGGGAAGCCTCCGGTAAAGGCATTATACCTGAAAAAAAGGTTACTCTCTTCAATGGAGAACACTGGATCTTCCAACAAGATTTTGCTCCAGCATACAAAACAGGTGATATTTGATGTTTCAAAGTCCAGATGTTTGTCCGTCATGATCTGTAAAATACCTCACAAAAATTTGAAGAGTCTCAAAAAATATGTTGTTCGAGCTGGGTCGACAATACCAATAGAACCATTACCATTTGAATAAAATTTTGTACATCATATTATGAATTATGAAATGAAATTATTTTTATTCAAAAACGTGTTATTGTTTTTATAGCTACCTGAATTTGTAACAAAACTTATGGCAGGACTAAGTATATACATTAGAAATTAAGAAAACAGCTCTTGAAATAGATATATGCTTGTAGGCATAATTATGTATACAAACGTTTAGATCAAAATTTATAAAATATTGCAGCAAAAGCAGAGCAGCCTTCATTCGTTGAACCTTTAGAAGATGTTAAAGTCTCTGTTGGAGAACAGTTAAAATTGCAAGCGCGAGTAATCGGATTCCCTGCACCAGAAATTAAATGGATTAAGAATGGAATTGCTTTGCACCCAAGTACGAGCATAAATTTTATAAACAATCCGAATGGACTTGTTGGTTTAAGGTGGGTTTTATAAACTAAATGAATTTAAATTTAATAAACAACTTTGAAGTTTTCCTTAAATATGTGATTATATGCATATGTCCTGTAGCATTGATAACGTTCAACCTGAAGATGCAGGTGTATATAAATGCTTAATCGCTAACAAAGAGGGTGAGATAGAAGGAAGTTCTACGGTAACCGTATGTGCAGTGGAAAAAGAACCAGAGTTTATAAGAGAATTACATGATACTAATTGTATTGAAGGTTTCCCTGTAAAAATGCAAGTTAAAGTTTTAGGCAATCCACTGCCTGACATCAAATGGTTTAATAATGGCCAAGAAATTTTACCTAAAGAAGGACGATATACATTCACAGAAACTAAGGACAATAATTATTGTTTGCAAATAAAAGAGGCTAATTTGAAAGACTCGGGTTTGTATGAAGTAGTTGCTTCAAATGCAATAGGTACGGCTCTGTCTAAAGCGAGATTACAAGTCGCATTGAAAACAGATGAATCAATGCCGGAAGTGCCTCCACGATTTCTGTCATCTATTAGAGATGTCAATGCAAATGAAGGTGATGAAATTAAACTTTGCGCAGCTTTTACGGGTAATCCTGTCCCAGAAATTATATGGACAAAAGATGATAATACTCTCTTTAATGATGAGAGCACTTTAATTAGTTGTGATGGCAAACACGTTAGTTTAATAATAAATAACGCTGAATCTAGCCATTCTGGTACATATAATTGCCTCTTAGCAAATCCTCTTGGGGAAGATGCGTCTGCTTGTGAACTAAACGTGAGAAAAGTGTACAAAAAGCCATTATTCACTCAAAAGATATGCGATCAGCAACATTTAATCAATACCGATGCAAAAATTGGTGTCACTGTTTCAGGCGTACCATATCCAGAATTGTCATGGTACTTCCAAGACAAGCCTATTATCGAAGGAGATAAATATGAATTGATTAACGATGGCGACCACCACACATTAGTTATCAAAGACTGTACCATAAATGATCATGGTGTTTATAAATGTATCGCAAAAAATAGAGAGGGCACAGATATTACTCAAGGCCGGCTGGATATGGTTAATGAACTGTGAGTACACATTTATGTTTTTTATCTTAACCAAAAATCAATTGTATCTATTATTCGATTAATTTCCATTAATTTCCATTTCATAACGAAGTGTAATGCATGCAGTAAACATTACTAATCACTACCATATTATAGCTTAACGGCACTCTGTACCCTTTCTACAAGAAACGCTGTAGCGACCTAATAATTTGAATTTCGATTTCAAAATTTTAAAGATTGTTTATTATAGTGTATACTATCGCTAATGCAACAAAAAAATCGATTTCTCGAAAATTTCACACTAAGACGATTCCTTAAATCATTGTGATTTTATATTGTTATTGTGATGGCAACTATAAAAAAACAGGAGAAAATGTGTACTTTTAATCTATTTTTTAAATTCATTACTTAAGCTTTTAAATTGGGTTTTACCAATAAATAAAATTAAAATAGAATTGAATTAAATTAGGAAATACCTTAAGCAGCTTTTTGTTATTTCTTAAAACGACTAAACATACATAACCAAGACATGTTTTTAAAATTTGCATATAATTAGCTTTTTAACCTTTTCATCGTCCAAGCGACCGCTGATTGATCCACTGTAGAATGTCTATTTTGGTCATATTTCTCTACATTTGTTAACGTCGTTTTGTTGCAAATATTACATTTTCATATATTTCATGTATGACTGGAAACATCTGCCGGGTTTCATCTTGAAGAAAGCTCGCCCTTTTTTGTTTTTATGCTATTGCTATTACAAATAACCTTATTGCAATGCATAGCAATTTACAAAAAGTTATCGCCTTGCGATATGCGATTTTTCAATAACAGTGAAAAAGTCACCAGTAGTGAAATATTGCTCAACCCTACTTTGTAAGTTATAGTTCAACACTAACCCGAACTTAACTCTTCCTTACTTGTTTAGAACTAAATTCAGAATCCATAGAAAAAATACGTTTTTTTTTTTTTTTAAACCGAATGAAATTCGAGTAAATGTGTTCTTTTATTTCTTTACTAAACGTGAAAGCTTTTATCTAGATCAAGAGTGTTAAAAGTATTGGGTTCTGCCTAGTTTCTCTAGTGCAGATTTGAGATTCGGAATTAGGCATTTTATCAAAGCGGACATATAAAGAATATGTTCCACACGTTTTCACACTTATTACAACAGAGTGAGTGAGTATTCCCTAGAACTTTTTTCAACTCTCACTTGAACATTTCTAATTAATGTGTGTGTCCATCCACACTTCGCTCTTTTGTCCCAGCGTTTGTAATAGTTTTTAGGCTGAGTTAGGTCTTTCCTGCTTTCTCTCTTTAATAGGAGGTGGTTTGCACGCATACTACCCTGGTTGCACTTACCTGAACTATTTCTTTGACATTTTCCGCTTATATTTTGTATTGTTTAGCGATTTCCCGAATAGGTACGAGTATTAGTATTGACCGGCTCACTTTGGCCAGAAGAGCGTGTCTACTCCGACTAGGTCCAACTGTGTCGTTATTGCAGCCATCACCTTTGCAAGCAGCAATTTCGTTTTTATTTATAATTTATTGTATCAATGTGGATCGTGGCTGCCACTAGCTTTTTCCTGCTAGGGATAAGTACCGCTTTGGTTTTTGTATGTTAACTGGAGCTTTACTTTTTAAGCCTTCTTATTTTTATCACCGCGGTATTGCATATGTGCTCTAACTGGCTTATTCCCCATCATATTACAATTACTGCTATATTAATAGCATATAGACCGAATTTGAAGAATTTTTAACATTGAACGTGACTACCGCGTAGTATATTTTAGAGCCATACATACAACTGGTCCCTTCTATTAGCTTTACTTATATATTTTCCCGTAGTTCCTAGGTGGAACATAGGGCCTCAATAAACAAATTATATTTCATTTTATTTACAGCTATAAATTTGATTTCTCTCCAAGAATAACCACTTTTCTGTGCTTCTGCTTCGACTTCCTGTCTCCAGGTGTTGGCTGGTCTACCGCGTTTTCGGCTTCCTTGTGGATTCCAATCTACTACAATTACTTGCAACCTCCATAAGTTTTTGATGACGTCTATTATTGACTTGTATCTTCGAAATCTATATTGATTGTCAGCCAGGCCCGTTGGATCTTTTTCTAGATGTTGTTGTAGACAGATTATACGCTCCAATTTATTAATAGGGATGGCATGCTTATCCCAGCTCGTGGGGGCCATTTATGTTTACGTATTTATGTAAAAATTTGTCTGGTTGCCAATTCATCATGTCCCGTTTTCTTTTGGTACAACGCTCGGAAATTGTCCAAGATTATTACTCAAATTCACGTTCTCAGATGAAGCCCCCATAATGGTTTCATCAACAAGCAAAATTGTTGCTAGGGTGAGTCAAATTCTTTTGTGGTTCAAGAAACGCTATTTTATCCCCAAAATTTTACTGTTTGATGCGGATTGTGGATGGCGGTATCATCGGACCTTATTTATTTGTGCTGTCATACGTTTTAGGCCTCCAGCTTATTTTTCATTATTATTAATTATTAAATCAAAGATCTACGCCAACAACCTGAAGCGCTCGAGAAACCAGTAGGTAACATTCAGCGTGCTATGGCAGAAATTCGAGGATGCCACAATTTTGGAAAATCTCTCTTCCATAACTTCTTCTTCAATTACTGTAAAGTGCGTCCATAGCGTACTTTGTAACAGAGTTCTTTAAAGCGACAGGCCGTGCTATTTTTATTGCTTTCTGAGGTCATAAAACACCAGTGTAGCCTAGTTCTGTGATTTGCCGTAAAAAGATCCCATTTAAGTACTATACGCTACCTACGTTTCCAAATTAAATTCAATAAACACAGGGACACATTTAGGGCCGCCTATGGAAAAACTGGCCTGCAGAAAAGCTTCTAATACTTCAAAACTTTTATTAACTACCTTTACATTTACCATTAAAGTGGATTAGTGATTTTTCTAAGAGTAAGTTAAATACGAGATCGTGCTTTATGATATCATCACAACTGTATTATATTTACTTTCATTATGATGTTGGGTGGAGCAAATTTGCTTTTTATGGTTTTGAAAATCAATAATATATAAATCAATTTATACATGGACTCTCCATTAAACATATTTTTTATAGATTATACCGGGATATATGAATTATTCAGGCATTTAGTGATCGATCAAATTAACAGCAAATTATAGGCAATCTTTCTTTTAAAATCCTTCACCTATCGGGATTAAGGTCTTGAGCATGCAGTCTGCAATATACAATTATTATTATTACTGAGAAGTTCGTCGATAATAGTCTAGAACTCCAGTTTCTTGGCAAATTCTGCTTCTATGCACCGGTAGTTCTGAAATCCTGCCATGTGAAAGCAGGATCGAAATTTTTAGTTCTTGCTAAAACACTAAAAGAGTGATTCAAGCAGAAATATTTGAGAAAAGTTTTCTAATTTTCGAATATTTTTGGTAGTCAATAAATTGTCTCTGAGGTGAATAGCTTCATTAAATAATAGATACTTTTTATATAATTTTTTTCCAACTACCTTTGAGTGAGAAGGGTTTATTTTGAATTGAATTTCGTGTAATGTTCTCCAGTAATTTTACATTCATTAAATTGCTTTCAACTGGTCGCGCAGAAAGCTTTCTATATGTTTAATTTCAGCATTGATATCTAGAAGAATCAAGTTTCTTTCATTGATTGACTGAAGCATTTTAAATTATATGATTCTGATAATGATTTTAGTTTTTTTTTTAAATATCTACGCTTTATTACAAATGAAATGTGAGCACATATTGTGGGGACACAAACTTTTCATTACGGCATGTTCAGTACAAAAATTTAAATATTCCCTTTTCTCTGACAGAAATGACAAAGCGGCTTCGAAGACTCAAATACCACTTAATTATTTCATTGATCTCTCGACAACAAAAACATTTACATAATGGATCTCACATCGTTATTCGACGCTATCTTAAGAGACAAAACTAAAAAAATTAAAAAAAAAAATTAGTACAGATATCAGGTAGACAACAAAAAGCTGTATCGCATGTATTCAATTAATTGTGTAAAGTTTTTGATATGTGATATACGATATATGTTTTATAACCATGACCAACATAATAAAGCGATAGTGGAAATTATTTATTTAATTGCTTTTGGTATCAGCAAACTCCCTTTTTTATTTAAATTACAGGAGTACATGTTTATTTCTTTTAGCAAAAAACATATTCGTTCAGAACCACCAACATTCCTGAAGAGACTTGGTGACTGCGAAATTTATCCTGGAATGACAGCTAAGTTTACAGCATGTGCTGCTGGCAGCCCGGAACCTGAAGTGGAGTGGTTCAAAAATGATCAAAAACTTTTCCCGTGCGAAAAAATATCTATGGATCACGAGCCGAATGGATTACTACGACTTACCATCAAGGATGCAGATGACACTGATGTTGGTCGTTATACCTGTCATATATTTAATCCATATGGAGACGAAACATGTCATGGACATCTCATTTATGATAGTAAGGCTCTCTCTATGTAATCTGACATTCGAATTCGAATTATATACATTATCACATGCCACGTTTTCAGATATTGACAACAACCGTAGAAAACCTCTTTCAGACCAATATAATGATATAAATAAATACAAAAGGACAGGCGTGCCAACACCGATCACGGAAAAACCATCAATATCCCGAATGACTGACCACAATCTGAAGTTGGCTTGGAAACCGTCGGTAGTAACAACGGGGCATTATCCTGTGACATATCTGGTAATATAACAAATTAGTACGATTTTTTTTAGAATCATTACAATCACGCACAATTCTTCAGGGTATGAAACATGTCAATTCAATATTAAACTTAATAAGGCACATTTTTTTGTGAATTCGAAAAATAAGAATCAGAGAAAGTCCCGCTCATATTATAAATTAGTAACTGGTGGGATAACCCCGGGTATCGAATACACAAGTTTAGTAGTTTCTTCCGCGGATATTTTGGGCCATTCTTTCAGGTTCCAAAGAGCCCACTAGTGTTCTTTGGGGTTGAGGTCAGGTGATTGTGGTGGTGTATGTCACAACTTTTGAGTATTATAGAGGAACCAAAGGCGCACAACGTCAGCAGTGGCCTTTGGGTCGTTTTCCTGTTGAAAGTAAAACTTTCTTTCATTTTTCGCTTTTCGATGTTTAAGTAAGCAAACTTTTTCATTATGCAATCAATTCTATTTCCCTAGTCCGCACATCCAACGCCGTGCCAGGTTTTCTTCATACCAATTGCCTTCCTTTTATTCCGAAAATGCAGTAATTTATTTCATCAGACCACAGAACTAACAAAACTATAATACTCTGTAGCAACTTGAAGTTGCAAAAACATAAAAACTACGAGATAAATCTTTTCAAAGTTCGGGTGTAACCGAACGTTCCATACTCTTGCAATTTGAAAAGATCAAATACTTTATATTTAACAAGAAAGGGAGATGAAATAGACAAAATTCACTCCAGCTTTAAAACCTGCCCTTTTAAAAAGTTTTCTGGACGAATCCCTGCAAAGTTGTTTTCGAAATCATTCTCTAACATCTTCCGTTATCTGTGCAGATATGAGAGGGGAATTTCTTCTAACCAAGGATTTAACTTGCCTTGTTTCCCGGTCTGTTAATATTTTCGGAGGACCAGAACGAGGCTTTGAAGTAACTAATAATACCAGTTGTGTAAAAGACTTTGATAAGGTATCTTATTGAAGACTCAGCTATACCAACCATTGCCCCAATTTCGCGAATAGTTTTACCACTTTCTCTTCATTTTAAAATAATTTTTCGTTCATGCACATCAATTTCTTTTCACTTTCCGTTCATTTGTACTAAATTACATTATTTAAAAACAAACCTTTTGTAAGACCACACAGTTTAACTTAAGATTACGAATTTTTAGTTTTTTATATAAATAAATCGGCATCCTATTGCAGTCCCACGTTAAAATAAAAATAATAAAAAATCTGCTGTTATCTCAGTTTTTATGCAAACAATTTCAATTTTTTTTTTATGTGTTAAGGGAAAAATAGGAATTGAACAAGTAAGAAAGGTCAAACTTCGGAGGCAACCGAATATTTTATGCTCTTGCAAGTTGCCAGAATCAATCCCAGGGAAATGCTTAAAGGTTTAAAACCAATCATATAGAGTAAAGTTATATAGGGGCTAGAACAAGTTCCAAATTTATCTATTTTTTGCACAATGATACACTGTGTTTAGTAAAACACGCGCTCTTTATTTCATCGGAATAACTCACACATTGACTGATATACATATGGGACACAAAATCACCATTTGAAAATATTTACATTAAGTTATGGTAGCTCAGGAAAGTGTTGGTCCGATTCAACCTATTTTTGACATACAGACATACTATTATAAGAGAAGGATTACCTCATAATTTCACAAATATATGTCACACTTTAACCGACATTTTCGATCAAAGGTCAACTATACGTACCGGAGTCCGGTTTATCGTTTTCCATAAGTTCTCTCGTACCATCTTGGCGGCAAAATTTAATATATCTGGCGTATAAAGTTATTAATTTATAGCGCTTTAAATTGTTTTTAACAGTACCATTATATGGAGAGTTTGCTTCGTTATCCTCTGATTCCGAAGTTCTTACACGATTTGTATTCAGCAAATTTGGTTGCTGTAGCTTAAGTGGTTTAGGAGATATGTATGTATATTAAACTTGTTAAAGGGCGGGACCACGCCTACTTTTTTTAAATTTTGTTTTCTTTAGTAATCTACGAGCGAAGTCTTTTTCTGGCAACTAGGGTAGGGCTAAGTTTGGGTGTAACCAAACGTTTTATACTCTTGTCATTTGAAAAGAGCACAGGCGGGGAAATTCTTTATATTTATCAAGAAAGGGCTAAGTTCCAGTGTAACCGATAATTTTATACTCTTGCAGCGTACAAAGATCAGAGCCGACTAAATTGAAAAACTTTATACTCACAAATCGAACGAAAATATTCAACTTCATTGTGCAATGAAATCGTGAAGATATAAGGATCAAATTTGATATCATATTAACTTATATTATTGGCCTTACTTAGTTCGAAAATAAGGAAAGTATTGACCTGATCAAAACAATATTTTCCCGAATTTCAACAACAAGTCTTTCAGATTTACCGTGAGTTGTGGCAAAAAGTCAGCTATAAGTAGATCTTCATTGCGTAAGCTTGAACATATTGACATATATTCAATGGTTATTAATAGATACGTATACTGGGAACTCAGCTGGAACTTAAATTTGAATACTCGTAAAGGTAATATAGGATCTTCAGGATAATATTATAGACAAGTATGGTTGAAATTGTGATTTTATTTGATGTGGGCTGTGCCACGCGCAGCGCTCACTTTTAACCCGCGGCTTCGAGCCCTCTTGTATTGTCCTGGGCTTAGATTTTAATGTATCTGGCGCATTAAGTTCATTACCCTTTTAGTAGTTTTTAACACACCAGTAATATGGAGAAATGTTGGGGTTACAATCCGATTTCATCCGTGTTTTAATAAGTTACTATTTAATTTAAACAGTTTTTAGAATTGAGATGACATATCTCTAAACTTTATACCGATATATTGTTTGGAATTTAAATTTTTATTGCATAGGAAACAGACAAGATTGTAGTTCGACTTCGCCTATTTTCGCACTCATATTCATGTTAGGCTAAAGTCACACACCGAATTCAAATTGGGCTATTAGTTTCTGAAATATGGGATTTTCACATAAAAATTGACGTCGCCGCGGCCATCTCCCAATTTTTATATTGGCTCCTATAAAGCTATAAACTGGACTTACCTCATAAATTATGAAAAACTTTGGACGCTCATCCAAAAATGAAAAAAATGTAGCATTATTAATTTCATTTTGAAATGTATTTAAAAAAAATCAGTTTTTTCCAAAATATTAAAAACTTCAAAATAATTCCATTTTGACTATTTCCAAAGATCAAAAACAAGACTTGTACAGCTTGCATAAATTCACATTTTAACACACTTTCAGGAAAGTTAATACTTTGTATGTGCACTTTTGCATTGTTTATTTTAGGAGTTCTATTTACCCCTTATTTCAACATGTCGCTACAAAGTATAATAAATTTGCTCACCTAAGGCAGAGAACGTTTAATATAGAGAAGGTTCAATTGCGGRCAGGCGTGTGAACTGTCAAGAGCTAACAAAATCCTATTAGTGGATTTCACCACTTTTGGCTCGGAAGGAGAAATTTTAACAGAGATGAGTGAACAGAGCTGAGCATTGAATGAAAATTATGCTCAGAAATATACATTGCTTTTACAGTAGAATGTTGCTCTTTTGCTTATATTTTTATACGTTTATCATATCATATCAATGTATATGAATATCATTTTGCGAATTTTTGTGAATTCATGCAAAATTGATAACATCATTATTGAATTACGCTATTTTCATGGTAAAATTTGTAGTTAATGTCCAAATAAAAGCTACTTTTTAAATATTTCTTATCTTTGATAATATTGTATAATTTCATATATGAAATATTATCGTAATATCCTAAAAACATAATATATTACAATAATAATATATGTAAATCACACCTCTTATCGTTTAAAACTTTCATACGCGTCTATCCGGCAGATATGTATGCAAGTACAAATCAATTTCAAATCAAGATATCATTTATCAGAAATATAAAAAGCGCGCTTCTCTATATATACGTACACACATATGTATGGTCATATGTATTTGCGTATGACATTCTCACACAAATAATATATGCGTACGCATGTAAATCAAATAATACAAACATTCTTCTGAAAAAACAACGATCGTCTCAAACATCATCATACATACTTACAATATGAGCACATGTAAATATGTGCGTATGACATATGCATACAAAAAATGCATACACAACATATGTACATACTTACATGCGTTCACATGTAGATATGTCACCCGCAAAAATTACAAATATTGTTCTTCAAAAACAACAATCGTCTCCAATAGCATCAGAAATCAAAATGGCCGACATCAAAATTTATAGTAAATTACACAACAGCAAAATTTTCATTCATGAACGCAAACGTACTTTGAAAAAGCATATTCGATTCATTCATAAAGCAGACGCCATTACATCTCCCCGAGCATGCCTTGCCTACAAGCGTCTTTTCGCGACAATTTCAAAAGCCAAAAATTATAAATTGAATATATTTCTGAAATGTATGAGAAGGAAAAAGTGTCAACCCCACAAAAATAAGTATTAAAATATATTTAAAAAAATTGACAACATAGTTTATTTGTCGATTTTCAATTCAAGAAATGTTTCAAAGAAAATATTCAATATTCCTCTGATTCATGTGTACGGTCACTCCCGGCTAAGTAGTACTCCGCTTAAATTAAAATCAAATCCATCCCTCATCACTTTTAACAGCATATATTATATCCTGCTGCATCTCACGGTTTGTTTTTTTTTTAACTATAATATGTAGAAATTGTTTTAAGTACGAGTCGTTTAAGTATTCGCTGTCGCTTATGTACCATATTAAATTTTTATTTCTAACTAATTACCAATATCTGTATCTTTGAATGTGGCACATAACCAGTATTGACTGTATTTGTCAAGGAATGTGAAAAATATTTTGTAATTCTGAAATATTTTTACGCAGCTGCGTGGATATGAATGTAAGCTCACGCATAAACATATGTACATATTTACCCTGGTTTGTAGGCGAAGCTGTACAGCGGCAAAGGGAAGCGGTGAC